GGGAGATGAACCACTCTTAGTTCTGAGCCACTCAGAGGTCTCAGCATAAAGGAGGTTTTTGCTTGTCAACTAATATCCAGGGAGTCTGGCTAGCATACATCAGTCTCTCAGAGGCTAGTCAACTCTGAATTAAATGGGACAACAGTGTCAGGGATTGCAAGGCTGAATGAGCTGTGATGACTCCATCAAAYGCTGTAATTCTAAAAGAACTTGCTTTAAGGAGCCTCTTTCTTGGACCTATTTTAAAACTGTAACATAAGGAGAATGAGAGATGATTTAATTCAATTACTGCACTTAACAGGAAAGGAGACTGGGGTTCGGAGAGTCTGGATGACAGTGCTAAGAAGATGCAACAGTGGAGCTAAGGGCTAAAACACTGTTTTCTTCTGTTCAGTGAACCCCCCCCCGCCCTGCTCTCACCAGAAAGGTGGAGTCTGCAGATAAATTAGGCTCAGATGATGTGTTCTGGTTCCTGAAAGGTGGTCATGGGAACAAGGACTCTGGCATTTACTGAGCACCTACTATACCTCACACTGTTTTAAGGATGTCACTAATACTATTCAATTTAGTCCTAGCAAGAAACTCTTATGAAGTTGCTAACACCATCTCTGAACAATAGAGTCTACAAGAAATAAATTTCTGTAGTTCTAAGAAGCTGATGTGAAATTAAATACTAGCCTCTTCGACTTCTAAACCATACCCTAAAATTTTCTTCCCATTATATAATTTGACCTGATAAATTCCTCTGCAAACAGCCAAGGAGTGTCAGAGCAAAGGAACATATATATTTTCTTCCTTTGGGTATTGGGGATTTAATCCAGAAGTGCTGTAGTTGCTGAGGCTGGCCGTGAACTTATGATCCTCCTGTCTCAACCTCCCTGGAGCTGCTGGGATTACAGGCATGCATCACCATGTTCAGCAAGGAGGAACATCAATTTTAATATGCATATATTTAAAAAATTAAAAATCTTCTATAAGGTATGAACCTTCACTTGATTCAACACTTATGAGAGAATTTCCTTAATGCTTATAAGAGGATTATGACAATATCTTTTAATGATTTACTTTTATTATTACTGTGAATTTCTGGTCTTATTAAAAATGCTACCCTTATATAAAGATATCAGAGGCTAGATTAATTTTCTTAAGTAGAATATTTTGTTTTAAAATTTCCCATCAAAAGCCTAAATTTTAAAGTGAGTATCTGCAAGTCAGAGAGTAAAAAATTATATTGCAAGGGATTTTCCTTCTCTTTAAAAAATCTCTCTTTTTTCAGGAAGAGTGTCAAAACTAGGAAAAAGGACAGTTAACTTATTTGAAATAAATCTCAAGAAAGTAGTGTCAACTGAGGCAGGAAGTCATACAACTGCCAAAAAGCAGGAGTAATCATGTTTTTTTTATATATACATACTTATAATAAATCGAGTGCTAATTCAAACTCACTTTGAATGATTCAAGGGAATTTGTCAAATTCTTTTGACCATAAACTTGAAGTATTTTAATTTATGTTTTCTTTAGTTGATGGTCTTATTTGTAACTCAAGCTACTAAGATGCATTAATTTTAGGCACTTGACCAAGATCTACTTTGAGAGTGCCCAAGTAAGTTTTAAGCCTATGTAAAAATAAGGGGCTTAAGTCTCAAAACCAGCTTACAAAGGATCTGCTTGAATCATACAGGATTTTATTTTCTGTATGGGCCAACAATTTTAAAAGATTTTAAAAAATCACATGGAATGCATCCAGATTTTGAACTTCTCTTAAAAAAATAATAATAGTAATAAAAAAAAAAGATTTAGTGGCCACTGTCTCAAACCACAATAAGCTGAAGCTGTGCTGAGCTGCCCCTGTAAAAGGATGTGGTCACCAGTCCTGTCCCCAACAGGCCATCTCATATATTCTAGCCCTGCAGCATGTGAATCTGTGACCTGTTTTACAACTGGGCAGGGAAAGTGCAAGAATTTAGGGGGGAAAAGAATAAAAAAAAATTTAGAGAAGACAAGGTCTATATCACCTAGGAAAATTTTTCAATAAGCTAGACTGCAAGGAATGTTTTTCAGAACAGTATGCCACAGTATCAACTGGCCTGTCAGAGAAAAACCTAAAGGTGATGTCAGTCTTTCAATATAATGGTGCCCCAATTAAGTACCTTTTAGTATGCTGGCCCAAGGTTAAATTCAAAAGAACTCCTTTTTTTTTTTTTTTTTTCAGATGCCAATTAAAGAATAAATAGCTGTTCAAACTCTTGTACCAATTCTAATATTTATGCTAGGTTTATCCAGAGGGGGAAAAAAAAAAACAACAAAGAACAAAACTTCCTTGGTATGTCTAACACCTCAGCATATTCTTTCTGACAATTAGACTCTTCTTTCTCTATCAATAACTAAGCCTCAAATTATGCTCAAAAGCCAAAACATAATACCTGACCAGGGTAAAAATGAAAGACGGTCTTTTTCATCAGTACATGTTTTTGTTTTTTTTTAATATTTATTTTTCAGTTGGACACAATATCATCTTATTTATTGATTTTTATGTGGTGCTTAGGATAGAACCCAGGGCCTTGCACGTGCTAGGAGAGTACTCTACCGCTAAGCCACAACCCCAGCCCTCAATAATACATGTTATTCTCCTTGCTATTCTACCAATTTAGCTTTTGGTTCCTAATTTTTGCCCATTGTGTGACAAGATGGGAAGTCTCAAGGTTTTAATTTAATCAACACTTTCTTTTAAAAGGGAGGATTACCTAAACACTTTATGAGATCTTTCAGGATCCTACCCTAGCTCTGTTCTCCTTTAAATTCCATTCACATTCTCCCCAATACATTATGATATTTCTTTGGTGAGTCAGTTATTTTCTTACAGTTTACAAAGAATGACAGGCAAAGGAAAACTGCCAAGGACTGTGCCCAAGGTCACAGAAGAGGAGGCAAATAAGGACTTGGGACTGAGAGTTAGTCCAAGGTTTGGGAAGTCAGGAAATACTGACCTTGGAATATTACTTCTGGTGTGCCAAAACTATTTGCAGCTGAATACTATAAAGAGCATAAACTTAAGAGGAGGAAGCAGGGGAAGCCAAAGTATATGTGTCCTATGAGGGAAAAAACAAAGTCCTGAGGTTTCTAAGAAGGGAGGTGTATGGAAATGGGGTCTTATGTGTGTGGGAGAGGGAAAGAAAAGAGGGAAGGAAGGTGGCAAAGTGAGTGGTAGCAGAAAAGGGAGCTGAGAATGAGGAGGAGGAAGAGAGGGTCCAAGGACCCTGCTGGAAGAGCTGTCAGATCAAGAAGGCCATTCAAATATGAGCCATCCAGCCAAGGCAAGGCCACTCACACAACATCCCTAAAGAGGGAACACAAAAAAGACCCAGAAAACATGTACTCCTCCACCCATGGCAGATAGGAATAACACACACAAGGTGACAGCCAGGACACGGGCACAAAGAATGGATCAGAAAAGAGGTGAGAAGTGTGACTCTGCGGCCACAGATGAGAACCCAGATCTTGCTGCACACAGATGGGGTGACCTTGGACAAGTTACTGAAACTCTTTGTGCCATGTGTGTCTTCTGCAAGATGGCAGTAACACCAATACTCACCTCAGAGGGTTGCTAAAGGATTACACATATATCACACTTAGAGTAGTCACAACAAGTGCTGCTTAATAAGTAATGAGTACAAAGAAATGCACAGAGGAGACTCATATTCAAACTCTGAAAAGACCCAACAGAAAACAAAGCATATTTTTCTAGCTACATATACATGTTTTTATAAAATAAGATGGCAAGAACTAAAACGTTCTAAATCCGATAAGCAGGTGGCTACCAATATCACTGAAATTAGTGTCAACATAGCTAGAAAAAAGTAGTAGTGTATGGAACATGTCTAGTCCAAAGATTAAGTTAAACTCCAGGCTCTTTATGCTCAAACCAGAAGGTTTGGTCTGCTGTGGTACAGGTAGGGAGGTGAAGGCAGCAGTTGCTAGGGTAAGAGAAAGTCCAGTATGGTACGATAGACAGCTGCCTCCTTGGTCACCTATAGTATTTTTATTTACTTCACCCTTTATAATCTGGTTTCTAGTTCTAGCGCTCTATGGCGATTATACTCTCTGGGATTGCCAATGGCTTCCCAATCTCCATTCTACTTGGTGTTTCTGCAGATCTGAGACAACTCAGCTCTCTTCTTACTTCCCTCATCACTACTCTGCAGCCTGCTTTACACTTCTTCTCAATCCTACTTCATAAGCTTCTTGAAAGCTTGAGTCTTCCTCTTCTCATTCATAGCTACTACCTTAGTTTAGGCCTTTGTCATCTCCCTGGGTTTCTGAAACAGTCCCATTGCTGGTCTCCTTTTCCCACCTCTGCATTCCCACCCACCCTCCATGCTACTTCCAGAGTTCCTTTCCCAAAAATAAATTGGCCATGTCATTCTCCTTAAAAACCTCTGCTGGAAAAACCACACATTCTCAACAATGTAAAATTCAGGTCTCACATAAGAGCCTGTATTATCTCTCCCCAGCTTTCCTTCTACTTTTATCTTCTACCTCTCTACCAGTTTTAATCCACAATGAACTCTCAGTGTCCTCTGAAGACACTGTCCCATGACACCATGCCTGGGACCTGCTAAACTTTTTTTTTTTTAAATGTGAAAAAGTCCTTTTTTCCTTCTCTAGATCCATCTTAAAGTCATTCCATAAGGAATGCCCATAGCTTCCTTAGGTAGCAAGAGTTCCTCATTTTCTGAGTGCTAACAGTAGTATTGCAAGATTTTAACTGACCTTTTGAAACATCTGATTTTTCCATTAAACCTGAATACCTCAAAGAGAGAGTCCAAGGTTCCTTAACAATCCCATATCCAGCACAGGGCCTTATAAGCTGAATCAAATGTAATCCTTTCATATAATATGAAGAATCTTTAAATTCTAACATGATCAATGCTTTAGCACAATGACTAAGCAAATGAAACAACTTGGTAAAGCATAGGGCTCCACAGTCCACGGGAAGTCCTCACCGCTGTATATCCTTATTCTTCCACAAGGAGGCAGACTGAGCCTTTGGCACTCTTTCAATGAAATTCACCAGCTCTTCCATGAGAAGCCTGAGTTTAAACAAAATGGGTGAAAAAATTAGATAAACACCTTGATCTACACGGTAACCAGGAGAAATGGACTTGCCCACCTTCTCTATCCTACTTTATCACTTCCTCTCTGTTCAAATAAGCTTAGGTACCATTTTATATGGTTTAACAAAAATGCAGCTTTCTCACTGAAAAATGTCAAAAATTCTGAATTTAAATGATTTAGTCCACCTTTAAAGCAAGCCTGATTTTTTAATCTCTAAAAATTGATATATATGTGTGTGTGTGTGTGTGTGTGTGTGTGTATATATATAAGTTTATTTTAACTAATTCTAAGATTCCTGCCTTTATATTACTAAATGAGAAGAATTTATATGACTGTGAAGTATTGATCTTAGTAGCAGCAGGGTGGGGAAAGATTACTTTTTAAAAAAGACAATATCAAATAGACATTTTAAGCTGATAAATGAAGTTGGCATATGTTTTAAGAATTAGCAAAATTCCAATGGGATAATATTCCAAGGACTAAATCCCCAAAATTTAACTAAAGGATAAGGAAAAGCATAGATCTCTGAGATAAGGAGATGGAATACTACAGAATTATAGTCGAGAGAAACTAAGAAATGCCACATTCAAATGAATCAAGGGTACACACACCCTGGGGATTCATGGCAGAGAACTGTTAGAATTCTTAAGGGCTAGAGGATGACCAGAAAGCTATAAACACATTATCAACCTCTTGAGTCCTTCTTTATAACCTAACATAGATCCATATTAATTTAAATCTTCTCTAAATCAACATATAAATTTATTAGCACCTGAAAGCTGAACAACTTCATCTCATTTCCATTTATTTACTTAATCCTAATACCATCTCCTCCTCTTCCCCTTTCCCGTCCCAGTATTTGGGGATTAAACTCAGGAGCACTCTACCATAAGTTACATCCTCAGTCCCTTTTTAAATTCTGAGGCAGGGTCTTGAACCAATTGCTAAGGTTGACCTCCAACTTGTGATCCTCCTGCCTCAGCCTCCCGGGTAGCTGGGATTGTGGACATGCATCATGGTGCCCACTCCTCTTTCTATCTTGAAGGAGCAGTACTAGTTCCAGCATCCCAACATCTAGGATTTAGGATTGTTATTCTGGCTGAGCTTTCATAAGAATACTCTGGGATAGCCAGCCTCATATTTTAACTTCTTCAGACTAGACTTTTAACATTTTTTGCTTTTCATCTCACTGAAACTGCTTCATCCCTGAGGTTTACTTTCCTATATAATGGCCCTTCCTTGGATCCCTTATGGTTTTCTGTGCATACTGCAGGCAATGTGGTTTCACACACAAGACTGTTTCATTTGCAATCATTTCATATTGTTGAACATCTGCAAGACACTAGAATCCAATCTAAGAATCTATATCATCTCTGAATTTGGTATCTTGGGTCCCAACAGTTTTCTATCAATTTTATTAATTTATTTCAAAACAATAATTAAGAAAACTTTTTTCTGGGGTAATTTTCTTGACAATTTATTTCCTCACTAAATGGTACTATGGTTACTTGCAGCAACTACCTACAGGTGAGGCCTGGTTGGGGCAGAGAGAGGGACAACAGAGTCCTCTTGGAGACAAAGGAAGACTACACAGTCTTAACTCCTTTGAGTGCTGTTTCTCTCCGATACCAGCAAGAACAAAATTTTAACCATCTAATTACTTATGTATCCCCTGTCTTCTTTAGGCCGTCTCTATTTATAGTCTGCAATAAACCAAAAAAGGGGAATATTTTGAAAGCCAAGTAATAAAATTTCTTTTCCTTCTTTATTTCAATATATTAAGTTACTTTCTCTGAAGTTCTTTGCATTGCATCTTTGTGGCATTTTCTTAAACACTACCTCTCCCAATTAGTAGCATCTGCAGAGGAGCTATCTTCACAAACTCCTTTGAGTTTATGGAAAACAGAAATGGAAAAAAAAAAAAAACAAAAAAAACAAAAGCCAAACCAACACAAAACCAAAAAACACAAGACTAATGGGAATACCCACAGCATCATTCTCTAGGCACTTCCAATGAACGGACCTGTAGAAAGTTGCCCACTCTGTCCTGTTTTTTGGTGAATTGCTCAGAAGGAAATAATAAACACTTCTGGCACCACACTCCACTGTACAGTCACCACTGAAAAGAGGTCTGCAGCCACACCCAAGGGGATAAGAATAACGGTCTCACCTGCCGATCTGAACGGTGGGCTCTGTGGCATACACTGTGCCCGTGAATCCGGTATGCTCAGTGATGTAGGGCAGTGCCATCATGCAGTGATAGTTTGAGATGAGAATCACATCTACTGTAGACAGGTCTATTAGCTCAGTCTGAAAAGAAAGGGATGATAGGTATCTATGCAGGACACATAGATCAACATGATGCGACTGAAAAATGATGCTGTCAGAATGCAGAAGAGTAGTTTTTGTACTTTAGAATAATGAGGCCTTTCCCACAACACTGCTGTTCTCTCATTGTAGGCTGTTTCCTAATAGACATTAAGCAGTGTTATAGGACAACTAACAATGGGAATGCAGCCAGTCCACCAGCAGCACCATGATTTTACCAGAACAAAGTTCTGGAGACAGATGACAAGACACTGCAACAGCTGTGGCAAGAGGTATCAGGTAACCCGAAGCAGAGAGAGCACAATATAAGCTCTAAGGGCTTATTGGCAAGTAGTGCACCATGGCTACAGGTAATGGGAAACAGCAAGCAGAAACCTGCTCTTCAGAAGTCAAATGCAGAGTCAACTGGCTTTTGTTTTTTGAGGCAATTCTGACCACTAGTTCTGTACACAGGGGAGCAGGGGAAAAAAAAGAAGAAACAGTAGTTAAAGAATTCTATCCTAATTCTCAATTCTCTTCTAATCTTTACCCCCAAACCTGCTCTTTAAGTCCATAATTAAGTTTACATGAAACAAAAAGGAACAGCAGGCAAGGAAAATGCTCTCCAAGTTAGGTAAATTCTAAAGAAATTCTTATAGAAGAAGGAAATTTTCTCCTATAAATTCAAGTCCTACTTGTTGAGACTCAGTTCTCTTTTTCCAGTTGGCTGTCCTGATGTGCCTGGATCAAAGAATTCACTTGCTTCTCAGAACTCCCACAGCACTTGATGTGTAGCCCTCTTGTGACAGGACTCTGTACAATGGCACCTCAGAGTAGCAACTTGTCCTGAGTCTGTCCCCTCCCACCTGTGGTAGGCAATACACAACAGGCCTCCAACAGGCCTGTCTCTGTGAGGAGCACTGGCTGTGGGGAAAGTGAGGTGCTGTGGCTCAAGACACCATCCTGTTGCCTTAGAAACCAGACAGCACACCTAGGACAAGCACAGCCATGACTATAAATGTGCTTCAGTTAGGAGAACAGGTTGTTGATCTAATATGTCTCCCATGGAGGAGAAAGAACAAAGATCTATGACACAAGCAAATGACAAGGGGCAGTGTGCCATTTTGGCTATGGGTATTTTCTGGCTGAATGACTTTACATATAAAAAAAGTTAATTTAATAAAGCTGCTGAGGCATCATGGGCTCCTGAGGATAGCAAGTGAGTACAGGTCATATGCGCCTCAAGGCTAGGACAATGACATTTATGTGAATAACATGCTAATGACAATAACAGCCAAGGAATATCACCCTGAACTCCACACTGTGAGCTGCACCTGCAAGACAACATCCTCTTGATGAAGGATCACATAATACCTCACTGGTTTTCTTCTGCACTATCTCTCTGGAATTATTTTTAAGCAAATAAGGAAATTAAGACAGCATCAGAGTGACAGATACAGAAGGCAAATGACAGCAATGCCGGTTGAAACAATAATAAAGCTCAAAAGTATTATTATCTTCCCTCATGTACACAGAAACTGGGTGAAAAGAACCTCAAATTTTTCTTTAATATATAAAAATCAGCCCAGAGTCTAGAATTATGAGAAATTTTGTGAGGTTAGAATAAAAAAATATATATTTATTGTGTGTATAAAAAGAATGCGAGCTTTAGGGGGCCGCTGGGGTTGTAGCTCAGCAGTAGAGCATTTGCCTAGCATATGTGAGGCACTGAGTTCGATTCCCAGCACCACATAAAAATAAATAAAAAATTTATTGTGCCCAACTTAAAAAAAAAAGAATGCAGGCTTAAATAGCCATTTTCCCTAAGAAATGAATTTACCATCCAAACCAAATTTATGAATTCTATTTATTTACATTTTTATTATTTACATATTTTTTACATATTTATTTACATATTTTCACTCAGTGGAATCCAACCTTAACCTTAGAACTTAATCCAATCTTAGAACTGTGTGTGAAATCATTTGGGGTTCTACAAACTGAAAAATCAGTCATTATCCATTGGTTATTCCCTACACTGCACTAGACCACAACATAGGTTGAGGGGATACAGAGATAATGTTTCAGGTAGCTGCACTAGATTATAAACTTCATGAGGACTGGGCTTGGGTCTGCTGGACTTACCCACAGCCCACAAAGAGTAAACTATCATCAGTGCCCCACTCCTACTTCTGCTCTTATTTTCACTCAGTCCTACTATGGCCTGGCACTATCTTAGAATAGTAATTATTAGTCATTTGCACCAGATAATTTTGCTTGAAAAGCCTCATATGGCTTTAGAACCCTAACTATATCAGTATCACTTTAGCTCAGCAAAGGTCAGCTGTGAAATGATACTCATCTAATTTAAAAATTGAGCATTTTATAGAGCAAGTCAGAAAGTCCTTGGAGCACCAATTCATATGTTCCACATTATTGTCCATAAACTGAAGGTTGCAGTAGTCAGGGCCACCTTGTGGTACGCTGAAAATAAATGTAGCACCTGGAATCAGGAACCTTTAAACAGATGGAGAACTGTCCCACCAATTCCTTAAGTGACAAACATGAATGACAAAAAAAGATTTTAACAGCAATAATGGAGGGTTCAAGATTCTTAACTGTCTGCCTTTATTCTTATCAGTGTTATCTCAAACTTCCTGCCTTACCTGTCACCTTCCATTACCTTGTGCTCTTTTTCTTTTACTCTGGTAACCCCAAAAGATGCACGCACACATACTTCAAAGAAAGAAAAAAGTTCATCTACAGGGATCAAACAAAAGTGTAAAAATGTAGAGTGGGAGGAAGAAAAGATAAAAATAAGGGAAGCTGCACTTCATACTGTCTTTTCTCTTTGACCCTTAAGTGTGAATGTGCTTTCCACACTCACCGTACTCACTAGGCATGTGGAAATAAAAGGATGACCGCTTCTCACTGATATCCTCAGGAACTCTGGGGAAACCACTGGCCTCCCTACACTTCATCTATCCATTGAGAACTTCATGGAAGTTTCTCTGGAATCAGACCTGTCAGCTAAGATTAGTTACCTCAAAAACTAATGGAAACTGTCTCAGTTTTCTTTGAAAGGGTGAAATTGGTCCCAAACCCTAACAAGTTTCACTGTGATAATAATATGTAAGCATCAGATAACCATCACTCAGTTCAGAATTCATGAATTTCAAGTAATATTCAATATATTTTAAGACTGCAAGAATTTTTAGTTTACTGGCATTGGTGGAATAACAGCAACCCTCAAGTACCCACTGTAAGCAAGACTATGAAAAGTACGGTTTAATCTAAGCACAAAGGCATTATAATTACAAAACTGAAAAGTTTGAGTTAATTCCTTACCTAACTCAAAACTATGCCCTGAAAGAATCAATGGGGATTATAGAAAGTTATAAATAGGAAGAAGAGAGTGACTTAAATGATTTATAGACAATATAAAAAGCTCCTACATAATATTTTAGCTTATAACAATGTGCTGGGAAAAACAGATTCATTTCAATTTGAAAATAGAAAGCTAAGCCCCTTAAAACTATGTCTTGGCTTCACTGTGAGAGATTACATGATATGCTGTTTCTACATTAAGATTCCTTTTCATCTTACCTCTGGTAAACAGAATTCAGGCACAGAATCCACAAACACATGACCTGAGCACTCCTTCAGCTCCTAGAAGAGATAAAGAGGAAATACTAGGAAGAGATATCCTATACAGTATCAAAGAAATAACATCTTCAACCAAACTGTGAAGGTGGGAGGTTATTTAGGCTAACTGTTCCCTGTTTAGTTAAATTCAGGTAGGCCTAGAATCTTATTGTGGGCAAAAAGGCTGCTTGGTGGCAGATTCAGGATTCCCATACATACTACTTGATGCCTCTTCAAGGAAGCCAGGCAGGAATCCGTGCTGCTTCTACAACCCTGATCCAGTGGTTTCCAATAGCTATGAAGACCACGCCAGCAACATTAGAGTTATCTGGAGACACTGATGAAATGAAAACTACTTGGGCCCTATCTAAGAATTAAGGAATCAGAAACTGGGGATAAGGACATGGAATCTGCATTTATGATAAGTACCTCCAGTGATTCTGCTATGCAATCAGGTTAGGAGTCATGGCTCTAGACAAATTACTGAGAGCCTTTTCTACACTTACCAAGGGTTGGGGGGAAAAGGGCAAATAAGGCAGGAAGATCAAAGGTAGGGAAAAACTGTGAATGTAATGCTCATCTCTGTAAAACATATCTTTATTTGGGATTATAAACTAAATATATTTATTCAAAAGAAAAAAGTATACGCATAAAGGAACAGAATATAACTCCCCACTGAATTCAAGACAATCATACTTAATATGCCCATGAGACAGTATGAATTCTTCCAAAGGCCATCCCTGAGAAAAGGACTGGAGAACAAGTAGTTTACATGTGGTTGCTGTTTTTCCAGTACCTCCCATATAAATGAGGAAGTGATCAACAGGAAGAAAGGTGGCTGATAATGGATGTTATTGACATACTACTTCGGAAAACTAGAACTTATTCTCAGGGGAAACTCTGGGAAATGATACAAAAATACATCTCAGTGTTATTTATTTGCCAACTCCTGCATAATGTGCAGTTTTACAAAAAAATTATCAGGATACCAGCAGCTGGAATTATGCCAGAACACACTGAAATGGAAAGGCTTGAGGGATACAGGGCCACCAACAGGGTCTGCTCCCATGCCTCCAGAAGGCCACCAGAATTTTCTTTCCTCAGTGACACTTTAAACAAGTTTATGGTAGATTTTTTTTTTATCATCAAGGTTAATGCTATCTATGACTTTACAACAAAACAGAATTTGGTTGATAGTACCCTTTGATCTTTCCAGAAGGGAAAAATAGTTAATAGTTTCATTCCTTTGTGTTTTCATTAGTCACCAAATATATATTTCTATATTTTCAAATACACATGTATCTAAATTTATACATCAGAGTCTGAATGATGATTTTACTCTAAATCTTTACCTGAAAATAGGGCATTAATTTTATTACTGTCCTTCCAAAGTTTACAAATCTCATATCAGAAACTTCTTCCCCTTGTTTGCTGTTTCCTCTCCTTCTATGAGTACCAAATAAGTCATGAGTATTGATTTAACTATGGATAGGCTGAGTCAAAAACAGTTAGTTACAATGTACCTGCCAGTTAAAAACAAATAAGCAATTATGTTTAATGGGAGAAGACTCCCAACTCTCKTAGGATGAGGTTAAAAACAATTAAAGACAAACCATGGGAAATTTCAAAGCTTTGCTAACCTTAAACTGGCTATGTAATCTTCCTCCCCCAAAGGCATGTCTCTGGAAGGCACTCATTCTTCCTGGCCTGCAGAAGCATATTTACCATTCCAAACACTTACAATGTCACTGTATCTTATTCATCACTCCCTTCTAATGAAATACTTCACATACACATGCAAGTCATTTCGCTCACAATGCAGTGGTAATGGGATGCTTCTGAGCATTTTTCAGGGAACAATGATTTATAGCCAGTAGGAGACTCGGGCTGAAATCAGGTACACAGGTTTCTGAATGTCGCATAATTTTATAGTCAGCTATAAGAGAGAAATCTGGTTTTGAATTATGCATTGGCTTACACTTGGTGTAGGGGTGCAATTATAGTAGTTAATTCTGTAAAAAAGGAATTTATTATAAATATCTGATATAAGAAAAAAATGTCTTATTCAGATTAATCATGTTAAGGATCTTAGAGTCATTCAGTTTTTCAATTGTAAAATTACAAGAGGAAAATGATTTAGAGGACCAAGAAAAGAACTGGAGAAGCCTTACAATTTTTAACTTTCCTGTATTTCTGATTCTGATTCTTCTTTATACAAATTATAAGTATTTTATAGTTTTAAGACTTTTTGTAGCTTTGGTCTTGTATTTAATCAGTTGATGAACTCTTTAATAAATATAATCTTTGAAACTCTAATCACAATTATAGGAATAACAGTTTTCTTTCTGTGACAATATTTTTTTTGGGGAGGGTGGTTACCAGGAATTGAACCTGGGGCATTTTACTACTGAGTCATATCCTCATTTATTTTTTTATTTTGAGACAGGGTCTAAGTTGCTAAATCGCAGAGGCTGGCTTTGAACTTGCCATCCTCCTGTTGCTGGGATGCAGCTGCAGTACTTCGATTTTTACACATGCACCAATTTGATCTGAAGCTGAACACTGAGAATTCTTTAAAAAGCAGTTAAAAACAATAACTACAGACCTCAGTGAGGACTGTGGTTATTTTGTGGGAGAATACACAAAAAAATTGAAAAGGATCCTGTAAGTCACATTACAACAGACTGGTTCAGGTATGATAAGATAGCTTTCCACGGGGTACAGATAGATTTCAGATTTCTGTCTGGGGCATTACCTTGTCCAAGAAAGCATTTCCATCCTTCAGGGACCAGCCAGGAAGATTAGATAGCCTGGGACTGCAAAACAAAAATTAAATTATCCTAAATAGATTATAATCCTCAGTGATTTCATAGTGACTACACTGTCCCCATAAAATTAAAAACAGTTTGAAATTACTGGCAGTAATGCTCACCCACAACAAAAAGATGATAAACAACCATGTTGTATTAAGTTTAAGAATTATGTGGCAATAGAATATTAGAAGGTCAAACAGTTTAATACAAAATTAGGAAAATTAAAAAGAATGTTATGCAGAAAAATAAAGAAAAAAGACAAATGAGGCATTAGTATTTGGTAGTTTTGCAATTGGTGCCCCAACTTTACCTTGTCTTACTACTTAATGACAATCCTGAGTGGAGGGCGAATGGGTAGCATCCCAATGCAGATGGAAATGGATTCTAGTCAAATCCACACTCTGGATTTAATGCTGACAAGTGGATTAGTCACTTGTCACCTATGGCTTGAGTTTCCAATTACAGAAAATGAAKCTAGTTTTCCCAAGCGTGATAAAATGACACCCTGACTGCTATTTCACCTGGGTGAATAGTTTCTAGAAGGTAATATTAACTTCATGTATGTTATATTAAGAAGCCTGGATTAAAAAATCATTGACTTCTGGTAAACTGTGTTCTACCAGTTGTGTAGAGAATTATACCAAAGCTAAAATTATCAATAATTCAGGAGAGAAAACAATTATTATGGTAGAGCAAAAAACTTAAAGACCAAAGAGATGTGGTAAGAAAAAGAACACCAGGAGTATGAGTAGGAAAGTGAGAGGCTTTCCGCTCTTCACCCGAAGGTTAATGTCTAAAATGAAAATCAAGGGCAAAGTAAGGGTATGAGACTCTCATTAGAAACCAACTATTTGCACAGTCCTTCACTCTCTTCCCCAAATAATGTTATCAGATTCTGGTTTCCTGCTCAAGCAAAATCATAGATATGTAAATATTTTTCAATCTTCTAGTAAAGATAAAAAATCTGAATAAAGGTTAGACATGGTGTTGCCTCATGCCTGCTACTTGTGAGTGTCAGGCAGGAGGATCCCAAGTTTTAGGCCAGCCTGGACAATTTAGGGAGAATGTCTCAAAATATAAAAAACTTTAAAAAGGGCTGGTATGTCACTCAGATGTTGCCCAGGACGTAGCAGGCCCTGGGTTCAATCCCTAGTAATCTAAACCCAAAACAAAGAAAATATAATCTGAATAAAATATATGCACTTTTAATCTTAGGAAAAAAAAACTGAGAATTTGGGGAGTAACTTTTAATTTTGACATTAATCCCAAACTTACAGAAAAGTTACAAGAAGATAAGTACAATTAACTCCCATATACATTTTACCTTGGTTAACTGTTTACATTTTGCCTTTATTAATCCAAAAGTGAGAATTTTAAATTTTGTACTTGAGAGTGAAAAATCACTAAGTGGGAGAATCAAATTTGTTTAGTTTAAATAATATCTGATAGGGGGTGGGGATGTGGCTCAAGCGGTAGCGCGCTCGTCTGGCGTGTGTGCGGTCCGGGTTCGATCCTCAGCACCACATACAAACAACGATGTTGTGTCCGCCGAAAACTAAAAAATAAATATTAAAAAAAAATTCTCTCTCTCTCTTTCCATCACTCTCTCTTTAAAAAAAATAAAAAWAAATAAATAATATCTGATAAATGTCTTTCTTTCATTTGGGAAAACTCTGGGAGTTTTCTGCTTTAACCTCTCAGAAAAATATTCTATTACCATTACCTTTCATGATTCCCATCTCATTTCGGGATAGTCAACGGTGTTGTTACTTGTAAATGTCTTATTTCTTGAAAAATATATTTACTATCAGATCAGATTTAAAAAGCAAGCCTTCTAATAAAAGTGTAATCACAAAATAATGTGGTCACTATTCTCATTTCATGCACAGTAACTCTCTAAAACAAGGCTGTAAACATCCATTCCTCTTTACAAAGATAACAGGAGCAAAGGAAGTACAATCTGTCTGTCCTCATCTCTCTGCTCCACCCCCAACCCCCCTTCTTTCTCTCCCCACCCCCACCCAATTAGATGACAGATGCAGTAAGTCAGAAAAATAACTCTTTTTAAAAAGCACAAATTTCAGGGATTGTAGACTTTGAACTCCTGATAAACATTCTTCATAACCTCAAAGCCTTTTTCATAGTCATTTTGGATTTGGGACTTTGCGATTAGATGGACTGAATGCTCAAAAGCAAGCATGACCACATTATAACCATATAGGTTGAGCATGCCTAATCTGAAATGCTTGGGACTAGAAGGTTTCAGATTTCAGGGCTTTTCAGGTTTTGAATATTTGCAGACTTTACTGGTTGAGCATCCAGAATCCAAAAATCTGAAATGCACCCAAATCTGAAACTTCTGGAGCCTCATCTCTGCAAATTCAGAGCAGTTAAGATTATTAAAATATGCCACCAAATGGCAAAAGGGATGCTGCTGACTACAGATATGAAAATAGTTGGTTATTGTGTTCCAACGAGGTAATGAACAAACCACAGAGTTAATTAGTAAACTACAAACTGTCAAAAATGCTTATTGCAAGACCCACGGCACCTTCTGCTTACCCCAGTCATGGTTGTTATCTATCAAAGGGGGAGGGAATTATTGCTCTGTTCTTCATGATTAAAAATTTGTGTAAAATTTGTAAACCGAGAGAAAGAGCTCTCTATAGAAGTCTACTTTAAATACAATGATGGGTGAAGATATTAGAAATATGATAATTGTAAACAAGTGCATCTTTGCACACACTATTTTATTACAACAACTTCTGAGAGAAAAATAATACCATTCAAATTTTTTTAGTCAAGGAAAAACGTACATAAGATCTATTTTTCTGGTGATTACTTATTTTGCAAAATAGGTAAATTACTCCCATAAAGATTCAAACAAACAAGTATTCTAAGGCAAGAGAAAGAAGACAGTTACCAGGTCCAGTAATTTCCTCCTGTCATTTTCTCCAGTCTTTGGTAGAGACATCTTATATAAAATGTTATTCAAACGAAACTTCAGGGAGAGTCCCTGAATTTGTATGGAATCCCTCCATTCAACTAGAATGCCATCTTCATGTCCTTCTAACATATGAATTGTCATCTCAGATGATCTAGAGGTGAGCTCCTGCTAAAGCAGGCTGAGGGAAAAGTAGGATGGGAGAAGGAGAAAAGAGACTTTCAGGCTAAGGAACAATGTTTGTGGAAGCTCTGAGGCTGGATATAAGATTTCTTTGAGGGACTTGGGTTGTGGCTCAGTGGTGGAGCGCTCACCTCGCATGTGCAAGACCCTGGGTTCAATCCTCAGCACCACATACAAAAATAAACAAGTGAAATAAAGGTGTTGTGTCCAACTACAACTAAAAAATAAAAATAAAATAAAAAAACCAACAAGATTTCTTTGAAACTGAATGAAAACAAAGAACAAAAGGTAGAGTAGAAAGAAAAGATATTTGAGGGGCTAGTATAAATGTAATACATCAAGATGAGTTTGGTGTCTACCCTAAGATCAATGAAAACCATTGAGAGGTTTTAAACACGTGAGAGACAAGATTAGATTTGCAATTCTAAAGGATCATTCTGGGGAAAATAACATCATGTGCCTTTTGATAAAACAGACCATCAATGACATGGTATTCCTACCAAAAATAATAAACCCAACCTAATCATTAGGATACATTAAATATAYCTAAATTAAGAGATGTAATCAGGAGCTGTTAGTGTTATTCTTGCAGCTTTCCAAATAAAAAGTTTTATCAAAAGACAACTGGCTGCTGTGGGCAGGATTAGACTTGAAAAAAATGGTTAGGAGGCTTTAGTAATAGTATAAAAGATGATAATGACTATGGGAACACTGCAGAGAAGTGACTGGTTTCTGGAACTGTATAGAAGCTTACAATGATACAGCTTAATGAAAAAAAATGAATAAGGGGGAGTTTTTAAGGGGGTTATATCTAAGTTAACTCCCAGTTCTCTACTTGTTTTTTTTTACAGGATGCCAGTCATCAAGATAGGAAATTTAGAGGAAAACCAGGGCGGAGAAGGTTTGCTCTTTTTACTGGACTACATCTGATCATGACTTCATTTTGGGGCATGCTCACTTTTGAAGTGATATCAAAGGCATATCCAAAGAGAGAAACTGAGTCCTCTTTTTGAATACATGAATCTGGAAACAGGAGAAATCAACTAAAGATACACATTTGCGGGCTGGGGATGTGGCTCAAGCGGTAGCGTGCTCACCTGGCATGTGCGGGGCACTGGGTTCAATYCTCAGCACCACATAAAAATAAAATAAAGATGTTGTGTCCACTGAAAACTAAAAAATAAATATTAAAGAATTTTCTCTCTCTCTTAAAAAAAAAAGATACACATTTGTTATTATTTGGAAGATTTTTGAAGTCCTGAGCATTTATTAAATATCCTTGATGGACACTATGATGACTAAGCAGCGAACACTGAAAAATTCCAATATGTAACAGCTAGTTAGAGGAAGATGAGTCTCTGAAATCTATGGAAAAGAAAAAGTAAGAGAATGAAGAGTAAGTAATCATGGAGGCTGGTGCAGCTGAGTGGCTGAGTCATCTGTGATTTTAGTGAAAGCTGTTCTGGTGGAGCTGTGTGGGCAGCTGTAACTAAGTAAAGCTTGCACAGCACTCAGAGACATTGTGATGAGGAAAGGGAAGTTGAAAAGATTAAAAAATGTTTAAATTTTAACTTAGAAGTGACTTTTATTAAATGGAAAAGAGTGAGTTGAGACGTAAAGATCTGAGATAAAGGAAAGGGACAATAATAATTTAATTAAATAATAATAATATAATACAATTAATTATAATAATGCAAAGACGGAGAAGATGAGACAGGGTGGGATCCAAAGATGATAAAGTGATTCATTCATACAGCAAATATTTACTCAGAAGTGACTGTAACTACATGCCAAGAACTATTTTAGGCTCCAGGAAAACAGCATAGATTGAACAATATCCCTGCCCTTAAGGAACATATCTGGAGGAGAAGACAATAAACAAAACTGCATATGTAACATAATGAGAAGTGCTCTGAAGGCAAAGCAGGGTGAGGCACAGGGAGGGAGAGAAAGGGGATACTATTTTAAGCAAGTGTGTCTCCACAAGTTCTGGCCAAGCCAGACACTCTTTATAAGGAGCTGTATGAACTGCCAACCTTCCCACTAGTGTAACTTCCCTCTGAGTAAAACAATGGCAACAGAAGAGAGAGTGGAATGGACTCAACTGTGGAGCCAGGGCTGTGAGAATAGAACAACAGATGAAGATAAGAATGAAGAGGAAGGGGAGACACGCCCCTGGGCCTGTCTGACCAACTCTGGTTTGGCTCACCCAGGAAATSCTCACAAAGCAAGTCAGGTCCTTTTGGGAAACCCTCAAAGTCTCTTGTGTTTTATTTAAAAAGTAATTATTTAAGTATGCAGCTGTTTCCTTATCCCAAGCATAGTTGAATCTTTCACTGCAACGTCTTTCTCCCCTGTGGATTATAAGTTCTATGAGGACAAGAAATCAGTCTTGCTATTATCAGAATCTGTGGTCCAGAACAGGACAGATTCTTAATAAACACTGAATGAATGAACAATTTGCTCTTTGTGGGGAAATAGTACCATAAGAGTATTTTATAAGAAATTAATTTATCATGTAAAAATTTCACTGCCCTACTCCTCATTATGAATAATACCTGTGGATGGTCAATATATTTCTAAGCGCTGGGTTTAACTATAATGGAATCCCATTAGCTTTGCATAAAATGTAAACTGAAATTATCTCAGACCTTATCCTCAAACCACCTTATTATATCCTTATCTCAGGAAAGGGGAAAAAAAATCAATGGTTGATTAAAATTTTTCTAGATAGTTCAGAGGTTATCACTTTCAATAATTATGACATTCAGTGATGTCTTCAGGAATAACTGAAATAAATTAGATGGTTTACTCAGCTAGGTATGCTTTTAAGCTCTTAAATCTGTTTTAGATAGCTTTTCTATTTCCTCTCTTATATGTGGTATCATTTTTCTGCTCCTATGAGTATACTTGATTCTAAAAATTAGCCATTTTTCTTATAAACTGCTACTTCTAAGTAGTAGCAAGCTGGGAAACCAATTTCCTAAAATGAAATCTTAATTAAGTATAAACAGTGATGATTGTAGGCCCAAGGCAATCTATCTGATTTAAGACATAAACCTGGGCTATGTATATAGTTGTATGATATCTCAAGTTGACTAACATGAAAATAATGTACACACTAGAAAGAAATGTTAAGACTCTGCAATGTCAAGTCCCTGCAAAGGCAGTTAAATGATCCTAAAATGAATTCTTGGGCTCATCAGTCAGCCATTTATTAGCTCTATATGAATTAGCAAGACAGATGAATTATACATGACCTTAGTTGCACTGAGCAGATGCAGGAACATTTTACAGAAGCCCAGAAGAAGTTATAATAAAGAAGTCAATCAATAAATCAATAGGAAATTTTCTACCAACATAGCCAAAGGAAATTATTTTGGTAAAGAACATTTTTGCAGATAAAGCAAACTTATGGGACAACACACAGGTAGTGGTAAATTTCATACTAACAGGTACCATTTTCCAGCTGACCCAAAGCTAATTTTGTCTCAGTATATGATAGCACATACCTTTGAACAAGTGGCAAAGGAAGGAAATTTAGGGTAGAAGTCATATCCAGTCCGCAGTCCAACATAATGGTGGTTGATTTGAATTTGAGCACATTGCATGGTAAGGTTGGGTGACCCGACAGGCAATACTGCAAAGAAAATTACATCATTTTTATCAATATTCATTACAGAAAAAGTCTAAGTAAGGTGAACTAACCAAAACTGGGAATCGTTCCTCCTAAGAACAGCATGTAAGTTCAATTAAATCTCTACACAACCTTCACTTAACTGCTTGGGCATTACTTTTTCTCACAGTACAAAACAATCAAGTCTCAGATCATAGATCAGACTTTTTGTAAGACACCAAGCTACATCTCAGGGAAGCAGTTTCAGAGGGGCCACAGTTGTTCAAATTGGAGGGTTTTAAGGCTATGGCTATCTGTTCAGCTTTCACACTATACTTCCCAGCTATACTTAAGTACTGCCTTAAACTGTGCAAGTCAATGAAACTCTAAGCTGAATCCTCCAACTGTGTTCTACGTTTGTTTTTTCCTCTCCTGTAACTAAGATAAGTGATTTTCTAAAGAGGACATGGTTAGAAAGGTTGGCTATTAAGCATCAGTAAAAGTTTATGGCTCAGCCTTGTCAGAAGAAATGGCTCAAAAGGCCTAGTGAGCTGCCTGATGTGCACACACTAAGCAGGAGGGTGAGCTACCCATTCCAGCTAATCAGGAGTCTCTTACCTGAGAGAGCAGGGCTTAAAAGTCAAAGGGTACAGTCTACAAGGGTGTACAAAAGGGGAGTGCTAAAGGCAAGACAAATACACTGACCTGAAGTTTTTCCCATGTCCTCCTAAGTATAGTGGGGACAACAGCTATGCTGCACTGAAGTTTTGTTATATGGGAAACACCCTGTCACCTTTAATAATTTTACTGTGTTCTGAAAGAAACAAATGGAAAAATGGGCAAAGACCTTTTCCCCCACTTGTAAAGCCATTCTGTAGAAGCCTCCTTTGAACAGCAAAGCCAGATAATAGAGCAATCAATGTTCCTAATCCCTTGACAAATCCACAGTTTCCTTCTGATTTAAGCACAAGGACAGGACAAATCAGAGTAATCCTACATCAAAGCCCAGCCATGCACAGTCATCCACTGCTTAGGCCAAGTCTTTCAAATATTTGTTCTGTTGGTTCTGTTCATGGAATGAATTTTCTCCTTTTTCCCAGAGGACATTATAGGAATTGATGATTTCTTTTAAACTGCATGTTCTAAAAATGAGGCGGCTAACAGCCAAGAAATTGTGGGTGTTTTTACAAGCTTCTTTATTCCAAGTTTATGTATAATGGTTAATTTTATCAAATCAAAATTTCTTACATGTTCTGAAAAGCTACAAAAGTATTTATGATGAAAACAACAAATTATTTAAAATTGTAATCATCTTTCAAAAGTCTAGGAATCATTTTTTGGGTACTTAAACTTTACATAAGTTCCTTCTTTGATAGATATCAGAACTACAAATTAAGTCAGAGATAACCCTATCTCACCTACACTTGATTCCTCAATGATAGCTGAAGTCTTTATCCTAGGCAAATAATATCTGTCACAGATAGAGACTACCTCAAAATGAAGACAAAGCATCATGTAAGATTTGTTCCAATCATAGTAAATGTTCTAATAATAGTTTTCCTATATCTCTCCGTTCAAAAGTAAAAAATAAGGTATTCAGAAAAAACTTGGAAGGAAATAAAACAAAATGCATATAATGGTCGTTTCTGGGTGAAAAGATTATGTTGCAATTTTTTTTTCTCTCAGCTTTCTCTATTTTTCAAACATTCAGCAATTAGTATTTACTATATTTTTGTAATCAGAAAACAAAAGGTAAGTGAAAACTGAGCCAGCCATACAGAATAAATCTTTTTTATCTTCACCCTTAATTCTAAATTATGGATAAGAAAGCATACCAGAAGATAGATGACCGATATATAAAAGGTTCTGCTCAAAAGATTTCAGCCAAAAAAGTGAGCTGAAAGACCTCACATTTGTTACTTTTGTCTAAGGACAAAGAAAGAGGAAGAACCAAAAGGAAGAAACATGTTTCAGAGCATCTAAAAGTGTAAGACCCTGATCTCATCAGCCTATTTGGATGGATGAGGAAACTGCTTCAGATAGTTTGAGGTTTGTCTGAGAAGAGCCAATAACACAATGAGCTCCCCCCACTCTCAAGGGCCCACCATTGCCTCCCAAACTGCACTGTGGTCACCTGAGCACACCGAGACCCAGGGAAAGCCACAGTTCATGCTACTAGTAAAGAGGCACCTACAGGGTGAGGATCTCATGAAAACTGAAGGAAGATCAGCAGAGTAGAAGAAAGGGAGCTGGGGGAAGGAGGATAGGAGGAAAAGGGAAAGCTCTGGTCAGTGGTATTAGCCAAATTATACTGTTACTATATTGTGTATGTGTATGAATATGAAACAACAATCCCACCATTATGTACAACTATAATATATGGGGAAAAAATAAAAAGAACAGATCATTAAAAAAAAAGCCCTCACTGAGTACCCAGAGACTGACTGCCTCCAGAACCACCCCTCCGTAAGCCTCCAGGATGCTGCCACTGACCCGCTCAGCAGCGCAGTGAGGGTCGTAAGAGAAAGGCACTAGAACAGAAGTCATCATGTGAATCAAATCTTAAAATTAGAAATCAGTCTTTACTACAAAAAGTTTGAAAAAAAATTGGAAAGAAAAATACAATGCACCAATCCCATTCTCTTCATAATCCGACTTTCATTTTTACAGATTATCATTTTGTGTGCTGCTTTTAAAAATCATGACGACGACTTCCCTCACCTATGCAGCACTGACTTCAGGTTACTGACTAAGTAAACACCATGGCTTATCAGGCAGTCAGTCACTCCTTCACTGCTGAGCATCTGGGGCCACCTCTAGTTGTCAGGACTATAAACACAGCTGTGCTGATCGCTTTAGTGCTGAGGCTTTTTCCATGCTGGACTACTTCTTTAGAGGATTCCCAGAAGTGGCATTAACTAGGTCAGAAAATATAAAGCATTTTATGCCTCTTGAAATCTGCTGCCAAAAGGCTTTCCAAAAAGCCTTTTCCTACTTACAACTGTTACGTAGCAGATCTGTTCCACTGTTCATACATTATAGCCAGACCATCTAGAATGTCACCAATGCAAATATAACCTTAGTAGTAGCTACCCGAAGGTAATTAAATGGTCCTAAGGAAAGTCAACTATTTGATAAACAGCTTTAATTTTAACATGCAATTTGGTGAAGTTTCATGTAGCAGGAGATTGGGGTAACACTGTCTAGGCTCTAATCCTAGTAGCCCTCATCTATAAAAGATGTCACAAAGTGTGATTTCACAAGACTCAGTTTTCTCATCTGTGAAATGAAGTAGATTTTATCCTCATAGAATTGTTGTGAGGACTAAATGAATGGACACAGCACCTAGCACATAATATGTGCTCATTTTAGTTGTACAGTTATAGTATCATTAAGGGGAACAAGAGGTCACTTAAGTTTGGTAGAAGGAATTTATATTCTGTGGTGGCATTTACTAGTATATTAGACATTTGTGTTCCCCTAAGACTAGGTATAATCTTTTTGGTTTATACTTCTAATATATGAGGATTTATGTTTTTACCACTGTTAAAATACAAAACAAAATCATTAGTCATTATCACTGGTTGTGGGAAATAGTCTTTTACAAAAAGAACCACAAACTTAACATGATACATGTTCTTTCCCCCAATATTGTTTAAAGAACTTATAATAATGTTCAGTTAATGTACTATCATATGGTGTTTGGTAGGTGTCAGGCATTCTGCAAGAAATTCACATTTAATTCCTTTAATAGCATGAGGTAGGCAATATCTTCCAATTTTACAAATAAAAAAATAAAAAAGAAAGATTATGAAACGCACAAGGTCCCAAAGCAGTAAGAAGCCACACCAGGATGTGAACCAATGAGAGTGAGCTCTAGAGTCAGGGCACTGGACCAATACACCACACATACCATGTTACAGAGACAGAAAGAATGGTCAGAGACCTAATTTTTGTTTGTTTTATAGAGATGGTATGCTACTTTAAGTTGATGAGAATATAGTTTATAGTCCAGTTCTAAACAGAGTTAGCTAGCTGACTAATGCGTGGCAAAACAAAGCTCCAAAAGAGATTAAATTACTTTGTTGGGCAGTCCATCATAAGCAGTAATTTCCTTTGTTGAGTTTTTCTTTTCATTCAAAAAAGTAGAAAGATACTCTCACTATAAACAATTTTTACTGCTGAAATTTCCTTTAAATCTCTAATGTAAACCTATATAACCTTCAGGTTGAGTTAATGCCAACAACTCTTTCATTCTGTTTCAGAATGAAACTTTTTTTTTTTTAAATAGGTGGTAGTGTTAATAAATGAGTTTCATCAGTTTTCTTCTTTTTTTCTCTTTTCTTTAATTAACCACTCATATACCCACTGTGGAAACCTACTAGAAAAGAGAAAAGACGTTCAGCTTGCTATTCTCCCTGGCAGTGGAATAGTGATTTTAGTTGTTTCTGATTCAAATCCACCTTTAAAACAATAATGAATTTTAGGGAATTGTTTTTATCTAATGGTTTTGCTTCTCAGTATATTAGAAAAATCTATTACTATGATTCATACATAAGTGAATATAGGAGAAAACAAATCTTGGTAGATTCAGAAAAATATTTAAAAAGAACTCAGCACCCATTGAAGGCAAGAATTCTTACCAATCTCTATATGAAAGGTTATTTCTTTAATTTGATAAAGAGTTTCTAACCAAAATCTTATGTCATGAAACCTGAGAAACTGTCATTTCAAAGTCAAGAAAAAGTCAAGGATACCCACTATAACTGCTAACTCAACACTATACTGAAAATGTCATATAGTGAAATAAGAAAAATAAAAGAAAATGACTAGAAAAGAAAAATGAATCTGTCATTATTCACTCATGAGAAGACATTCTAAATATAAACTATTACAACCAATAATAGCTCATCAAGATTGCCGGATACAAAATTTAGTACATTAAACTTAAGTGAGTTTTTATGTGGCAACAGTAAATAATTAGTACAATAAGAGTTGGGCATGGTGGTGCATGCTTATAATCT